TACTCCAAAAGGGACTAAGAACCAATCGAAGATTAAGATGGGTTGGGAGTGATGGAGTTAGTATTAGCATTTCGACGGCGATCCTGTTTAGTAGCGCCATTTGACCCTGAAGACGGTCGATGGCGATTACTGAATGGCGAACAGTAGGATTGTTTTCACGGGTGGTGGCAGTGGCGGGGCAACACAATGTGATTTTCGCTTTTCCTCGGAGTTTCTTCGATTATCGAAGAAGTGACGACGGCACGAATGCAACTGTGGTCATGAAAAACGAGAAAACCAGTTTTTCTCCTAGTTATGTATCAGAGACAGGCAGCAAGAAGGAGACAATTTCTCCTCAACCTTCACAAGACACTGTTTCCAAACACTGAGAAAAAAAGTGAAATACTATTAGAGAAAGGTGTTCCAGTAGCCCATCAGACTTGAAAGACGAGCACAGTAGCATAAAGCAATAATAAAGTAAGAAATTCAATAGTTTGTCCGTTAGGCCCGGGCATTCTACCTCAGCCAGTACTGTCCCGTAAGCAGGAAACATAAAAAATATCAGTGGAAGATGAGAACATAGGATCAGCAATGGTATGGATACGTCTTGAGAAGGCCACAAGATGATCCGATGAAGAAAACAACGAAATTGAGGCTCAGGGAAGCAGACACTTGTGGGGCTCCCACAACACAGAACGGGTTGTGGTAAATTGTCAAGAAAAGATTCGTCTTAAGGTGACAGTAGAAAATGTTGTAGGTAAATGGGGACTGCCAGCAAGAATACCGTATCTGGGTAACGAAGCGCGAACAAGTTGTAGAGAAGAACAGGAAGGAAAGTGAAAATTTATAGCAAAACCAATTACCCCAGTATGTCTAGGGAGAACAGGAGAGAAACAAAAGCATGTTGGGATTTTGAGATAACCGTAGAGCTACACTGGTTTCTGATGGAGAGCTTTTTGGCATGTTCTTTCGAAGTCTCTGATTTTTCTACGGAGTCCTTAGGAAAAGCTTCTGTGTAAACGTCTATCCTGACTGCGTCAAGTTATCAGATCAATGACAGACTAGAAAAAGGCCAAAATGATAGATTCGGTTACTCCGAAGCCAAGATAGGGATAAGGGATAATAATCAAAAAGCTCCCAAATAGATGTTGAGAGGAGACACTCGGAAGCTACTTCCACGAAGATGACATGTCAACAATTAGCATTATTAACATAGGTTTTAATCAAAACTTCCGAATTAATGGTTATAAAGTCAGCTGTTGTTGGTCAATGAAAAGGTTCGTCTTAACGGGCAGCGGCAATGTCGCCACGGTGTTTCAGTGGGAGTGGTGATTGCTGTGTGCCCAGTTGTCTGACAATTGTGCGTTTTCTGATGGCAAACCAGTTTTCAGCGGTAACTTCTGATATGGGACAAATTGAAAACAATGCTCTGAAACACGTTCTTCTACAGTGGCTTAATAACTTATCACATTGTATCATAGCATCATGATGATGGATTGAATGTGATAGGAGTGAACTGGTTAGCCAGTAGTAAAGTTAACAAAGGCAAATAGCCTGGCTGATACCAGATCACAGACTTACAAAGACTGATTGCAGAGCAGTGTGATCAATCGAGTCTGATCGCGCCATGCATTTGGATTTCATTCTGAACGAATTAGAAATTTTTGGACCTGTGCCTGACCTAGATAAGGTTCAAAGTTTTTTTTGTTCTCTTGCAGAACCCTGCTTCGTGTCAAGATTCGGGACTGTCAAGACTGCATCGAAACGATTACTACAGAGCGATCTGCCTTCCAAACTTAATCCTACTGGTAGCGAAGTTCTGTCAGAGCAGCTAACCATTAAAGTTCCTCATAAGGCGACGCTAACACTCTTGAGGGTGAAAAATTCTGATGGCAATCCTAGGAAA